TTGTTCTCCCCAACCCAAAGAAACAAGTGTTTTATGATGCATAAAACCAGAATATCAATAAAGAATTGTTTATGGCTTCCTGTTTTTTATGTTGTCCCACTTTAAGAAAAAAAAAACAAACCAAACAAAAAAAAAACTAGAAGAAAAAGTTCTTTTGGCCGAGGGTTGTGTTATTGTTTTCTAACAATGCTTGTGGATCACTGGGTGAGGAGGACCTTGGAGCTGGGAGGCCACTCTGAGTTACTGAGGCTCTGCCTGCCTGGAGAAGAATGGGAAACTGAGGATGGAAAAAGGATTGATTTCCTCAGATTGTGGGGCAGCAAGAAGGGAGAGAGAAATGACAACGTGTGCCCTTGTTCTGGAAGGGTGGGATTGTTTTACAGTTGGATCTGACCGTACTTGGAGCGATGTGCGGTGACAGGGCCGTGGAAATGTGGCCGTAGGAAATGTTTTTATGGCTGTTTTTTTGCACACCTCTGCAAAAAGCCAGCCAGGATCTGAGTGTGGTCTCTGTTCAGTGCAAACATAAAATCCTCAAAGCCCATTTGCTGGAAATCCTCGTTCTCAAATCCAGCCCTGAGTGGTGGCACTGATTTCTGGAGCGGGGCTGGTGGAATGGGCAGTGATCACATCCCGTGGCTCTCAACGTGTCCAATCTGAATGTATTTTGTATCATTAGTTTGGGGTTTAGGGAGAGAGGTGTCTGCACTTGCACAGTTTATGTGGGTTTGCATTCTCTGTGAGGTTCTGAAAATATGCTCATCTCTCTCTCCTGGGTGGTGGAGCCTGAGAATCGTGTCTGACCTTGCTCCATGGAACCATTCAACCAGTGGACTAATTATTGGGGTTGAAGACATTGTTTGGCTCCAGGTTTTTCCTCCCTGTTTCACTCAGTGCTGCGGGGCAGGAGGAAGGACAGGGCCATGTTTGCAGGCACTGTAGGAAAATGAGGTCCTCTGTTGGTGTCCAGCAGCCACCACGTGGGATGGGCCTCATCTCCGTGTTCCTCTGAATGGGAATATTCATATTCTGGCCACATCAGTGTGGGAAGTGTTGGAATAACCACGAGTGTCCGTGGTTTGGGTGCCCATCAGATCAGCTTAGGGGCCAAATCTCCAAATACATCTGCACAGGCTCCTCGAAGGCTAAACCAAGACCAGCCAATCTTGCTGCAATAAAACCGATCTGGTGTTCAGGGCCGAGCAGAGGGAGCTGCATCCCTGCGGATCTTGTGTTTCCATGCAAATACTCTGACGTCAGGACTCTCGTTTCTTTGTGTGCACTGCAGTAAACGAGCTGTGAGGAGACAGGGGCTGTCACATGGAACCTGTAACCACCCAGGGAAAGGGAAGTTTCGAGTCAGAGGGAAAGAAAAGGAAAATAAATGGAAGGAGCAGAATTCTGACACAGTTTTTTCCCCCCCTTCCCCAACCTGTTCTGCCAGGAGGCTTCCAGACCTCGTGCAGCTTTGCACAGATATAATTTGTTTCCACTGAACCCTTGAAAGAAGCTTTTTAAATAGGTCAGATACAGTTTCCTTGCTTTAAAGTTACATCTCTCTCATGCTTTGTGGAACCATCAGCAGAGCTGACAGTGAACTCATCTGAATTCCTGCAACTGTGCAGTTGGGGGGGTGCTTTTCTGTGTGTGGCTCTGCTGTCTGTCAGCAATTAGTGTGGTGTTTTCACATGTGCTGGGGAAGGGAATAAATCCAGAAAATTTGGAGTAGTTTACTTTAAAACAATAACAGAGGCTTTTGCTTGGGCAGCTACAAATACAATTTTTCTTGCTATTATGACATTATTTTCTGTCTGAAGCTCATCATGAAGCACGTGGGTTTTTTCCCTTTTCTCTGCTTAGCCTTAAAGTGTTGTTTTCCAGAGGCCTGAAGTCCTTCTTCAAAACTGAATAACTTTTACTTTTGTGTGCCCATCTCTGGTAGCTGGAATTGGATTCTGTCACTTAAGGAAACAGAACTTCATCAAGGGCATTTCATGGTACTTCCACACTTGCCTTCAGAAATAATTATGTTGATCTTTGTCTGCAAGTTTTCCTTTATTTGGGCAAAAGTTTGTTGATAATTTAGATCAAATGGCTTTGTAAATTAAGAGTTTGCCTGGTTAAAACTTTTGCTGGTTACATTTTTGGTGTAACCGTGTAGTGGGCACAATCCTGTATCTTCTCTTGCACAGTTTTGTTGCCAGTCAGGATGGAAAATAAACTGGAACTTTGATCAAGAATTGGAAAAGGAAAAGTCTCCAAACATCACGTGCCTTTGTCAGTGGGGGTAAATTCCCACTTGGATGTTCTGAGCAGGGAAAGTGCCTTTTGACTGCAGTTTTCTCTGATTTTGGAGAGTGTCGAGGTCCTTTCTGCCCTGAGCTCAGCCAAACCTGTGTGGCAGTTCTTAGCTTTGACAATCCCCTGGTGAGGGCCTGCAGGGTGACAGGGGTGCTGCACCTCCTTTGGCAAAGGCATTCCCAACTTTCTGGTGTCAATGGCAACCTGTGGGAGAGGGAGCAGAGCCTGGCCCTGGACTGGACAGACGAGCAAACAGGAATTGGGAATTTCTGAGGAGAAAAGCGTTGGAGGTTGAAGGAAGCAGCAGATCTGAGAGGAGAGGGAAGGTGAACTGTCATAAATGGGAAATAGCTTGGTACATTTATGCCTAGTAGAACATACTGAAACGACACCCCAAAACCATAACAAGATGTGGATGGAAATTGCTGCCAGCTCTCCCATTTGTGATGGTACACAGAGCAGATAATAGTGTTTCCCTGCTACTGTTGCTTCCATTAGCTCATACCAAACATTTGTGCCTCTCTTATTTTGCATCCCTGGGTATATGTATTGCATAATCTCACATCATGTGTATCTTATTTTATTCACTGCACGGACTTGCTTTTGAATGTGTTGCAGAAGGCAGAAGGACTCCAGAAGTTCCTGATTCAAAAATCACTTCATATGATGGAGAACGTGGTTTATAAATACTGCTTTGAAGTGATATATGTGTTATTATTCTACTCCTGTGTTCTTCCTTCACCATCCCAGTGATATTTGCTGGTAGCCAGGGATCAAATGCTGGACCAGATGGATCTCTGGGCTCCTGTGTGGTTGATGTTCTGTGGTGTGATGGTGGGGGCTTTTCAAGAGTACATGGTGGGTTTAAAAAATGAAGCCCTGCACGAAGGAGAAAACAAATTCTCAGAGGTGGTTCGAGACACCCTTTGTTAGGTACGTTCAGGGGAGGCAACAGCCAGATTTTTGCAGAGCTAAATTTAATGTGTGATCGTAGCACGAGCTGAGAATTCTTCTCTTTTCAAGCAAGTGTGGCAGCTGACTTGAGCTGAATGTCCTCGGGAACTGAAGCTTACAGTGCAGTGGATGTTTTTTGTGTGTGTGTTCCTTTGTTTTCTTTTAAACCACCCCAGTATAAATCCACGTGGCTGCTGTTGCTTGCCCTGTGAAGTATTTCCCGTGTGCTGTTGGTTGTGTGGAGGTCCCTTCATCTGCTCTCCTTCAGCTGGTAATTCCTTCTCAGCAGCACCTTGGGAGACATTTTTCCCTAAGCAAACAAAAGGGATGCAGTGCTGGTGCAGCTTTCAGGTGTTTTCCTCTCTAAGCAGTGCCCAGTGCATGTCCTGTAGCCCAGTGGACATCTCCCAGTGCTGCTTGGATTTTAAATTTTCAAATTTCACCCAGCAGTGTTTCCAAACGGGGCTGGGGCGTTCTGGGCTGGTTTTCCACAGCAGCCCTTTGTTGCTGTCAGGTAAATAGAAGATGACATCCCTTTGTTTTGTGATGTTCCTGCACCTCTGTTTGTTTGCTCGGTGTAAATTGGATGTGTTGTGAAGTGCAGCCTGTGACTAATCGGCTCTCGCTGTCTCTGCTCGTTAAGTGACTGATGGTGATGTGGCCCGGAGGACACGGGGGTGACACCCCTGTTAGAATATGCAGGGCTTGATTTCAGAAGGTGTTTTGGGTTGGAAAGTTAAAAAGGTTATCAGCTAATACTGGGGTTTAGCCCTTTCCATGAGTGTTTGGTGGCAATAAGATGAATAAGCTGCACCTATTTCACGTGTTTATGTTCTGATACACAACAGCTCGTGTTCTGGAGGTGATTTATTTTAAATTGTTCTTCAGTTTTCTTCAACTGATGTTGCCCTGCAGTTCAAGCAGTGTGTTTGGAACATGGCTTAGCAATTTGTTTTTGCACTGAAGATGCATTTGAAGTTTGTTGACTATTCCAGTGTGATGGCACGTTGGCTTTTTGAGCTGCACGTGCCCTTTATCTTTGCAAACAGTATAAAAAGGAACAGGTCCTGGGTATTGGCAGATTGTAATTTACAGGTTATTGTAGAGAGAGGAACTGTCAAAAATCTTAATTCTTCAGTGGTGTCTTGGTAGCCGTGAAATAGTTCTGTTGCAAAGCTGTTTTCTGTGGTCTCTTTTTAAAGTGAAGAAATTCCCTGTTTCCTTCTCCCTCTTGTTTCCCAATAAAACCTCAAATACTGTCTCACAAAATGAGATGTGATTTAGTTTTAGGAAGAGAGACTTGGTGTTCTCATGGCTTTGTTTCATTATCTTGATGATAATTTTGCGAGAGAAGCAGGAAACACAAAGCGTTTCTCTTTAAAGTTTCCCTAAATTATTGAATGGGATTTACCAAAACTCGGTGGGTAAATGTTTGAAACCTCAATCGAGGCCTAAAACTTAGAGTGATGAGCATCACCCCTGTGACAGTTGTATTTTTAAGGCATCCAGTTGAATGTGTATGGAATTACTGGTCATTTCAAGTCTGTAGTTTGTAGGTGGAAAGCTGCAAACCACTTGGAGTCTGTTTAATGGGAACAGAGTCTGTAGTATAATCTTTTACTCATGAAAATACTTGATTTATCACTGAAATTCTATGATGCACATGTTTCATGGCCCTCCAGGTTTTTAATGGTGCTTCCCCTTTATTTATGGATTCATTTTTTTTTCAATTCTTTTTTTTTCAGGTGCTTATAAGAAGAAATAGGAACCGTTTCTCAAGCTGAAGACAGAGTAAAAGAAAACTGTATCATGTGTTAGGATACTGGAGAGGGACATTCCTTGGATTAGTACATTTCTGGATTGCAAAGCAAAAGAGAGAGGAGGCCAAAAATGGGGAGGAAGAAAATACAGATCACGAGAATAATGGATGAACGGAACAGACAGGTGAGGAATAAGAAATCTGCATGAACAAGTTCATCAGGAATCCCCAAAATTATTGGAGAGCTGGAATACATTCATCTTAATTCACTGTTCTAAAGCTGAACTTTCTCTCCATCTATCTATAGATACCATTGCCGGAACACGAATAAGAAATGTCTTATTTATGTTTTACAACTGTTGGAGGGAAAACTGTTCTTTATAAGTAATACCAGTCAGCACTTTAAATCATATTTCCTGTAAAATTGCTGCTCCTGTTGAAGTGATACCCTGGGCTGTTCTCCCAATAGATTGGAGGAGTGTTTGGAAACAGTCACCTCACTTGATCTGTTGGTTCTGGGAACATTTGCCACTGGAGCTGCCCTTGCCCTAACACAGAGCTTGGGAACTCCCAAAGGGTCATGACTCCAGCAGCAGTATTGCCTCTTCACTTCTGGATTACTAATTGAGATACCGAATAAATTTGAATTTTATATTGAAATACTGAGAGGGATATCTGGAACCTCCCATTTTTAAGGAAAATTATCGTAGGAATGTGATCTTTAGGACAGTCCTGGTGGCTCAGACTGAAGGCGTCTCCTGTCCGGTGACGGTCACAGGCAAATCCGTGTGGGCTGGAGATGCACATGTTACACCACTCTAATCCTCTTCCAGCTCCCAACTATTCTTAGCTCAGGGATTTCCTGAGCTCTGGATGTGGTTTCCGTATATTTAGTAACCATTAATGGATTTTTTTGTGTTTGTTTTCCCCGCCCCCGCCAGGGAACTTGGTCAGTTCTCCTCTGAGCCCTTAAACGTGGCAGCATTTACACCTTTTGTCCAGAATTTCTTACAGATCTGTTGCTTCAAAAAACACCTTTTCATTACCCTTTGTCTTGGTCCTGCCAGTTCCTCAGTTATCCCACACTCTGGTGTGGAAGAGCAGCAGTGACTCCCTGTGTAGTCTGTCCACGTTTCTGTTGTTTGGTGAGATCTTCCAACTTTGTTTATTTTCTCTTAAAATCAGCTTTTCAGGATGAAGCCTTTCCTCTTTACTTGTTTTAATACAGTTTGTTCCACACCTCTGTCAGCTTACCCCTGAACCTTCTGGAGTATTACTGTCTTATTTTTGGTGCCCAAATGGCCCAGAAATTCAGGATCCCTGGAAAACATGGACTTCCATAGTGGTGTACCCCCTTCCTGGTCTTTGATTTGCCTTTTTTAACTTCTGAGCACCAGCTTGTGCTGGGGCAGCGTCAGAATTCCACGGGACTCTCTCACTGCTGACACATCAGCTCAGAGCCCTTTTGTTTTGTTTGTGAAATCAGGATTGTTTTCCTCCCTGTATCACTTTAAAGCCATGTAAACGCTGAGAAGTCTAAATATAGCCAGAAAAGTATTATTGGAGTTTGGGAGCCAGCCAAGTATTGTGTTTGAACAGCTTTAATCACCCAGTGACTGTGTGTTTGATGGAGATAAATGTCTCAAGTACACGTAGTAGAAGGGGATGAATTAATAACTTCAGTGCTTTTTGGGCCTTGCTCTGGAATTTAAGGGACACTGAAGAGGTGGAAACCGATCCCCCTCATCCCTTTTTTAACTTTTTTGTGTAAGTTGCACAACCTTTGTTTTGTTCAGCTCCAAATCCAAATATCATTATATTCTACCATAACTTTGAGGTGTTTTTTTCTTTCTTTTTTTTCCCTCATTGTTCAGATTGAAACAATGGAGAGGAAGAGAATCAATGCATTTGTATCAAATTTTAGCCCACTTGTACCATTGCTGTGACTGAAGCAAAATATGCAGATTAAATTATTAGTTTTGTTTCTGGTTGGTTTTTGGCCAACATCTTTTTGGGCTTTTTAATGACTAGGAAGAGGTTTTAGGCTATAACTTAAAAATTGAGTTAGACATGTTTAAGGGTTTTTTTTGTTGGAAAACGTAAGTGGAAGGAGACAGAATAAGTTCATGTCATTTATGTGGGAAGGGAAACTACTGTTTTGTCAGAAGCATCTTCTTTCTGAGGGACTGTATGTGAGCTCAAAACAGAATATATAGACCATTACTCCAGGGGATTACAATTGTCAGGAGACTGTCATTGTATTATTAATTAAGCAGCCTTATCTGCTTGAATGAGCTGTAGGACATTTATCTTCATTAAGCTGAAGAGAATCCAGTGCAGTAAATTAGATATCAAAGGAGCTCAGTCTTGCTGCCTTTGCTGTCTCCTCCTCACCCATTTTATTTTGCTCAGGAATATTAAAACAGTGCTGAGAAATTTCATTGACCTGCATTAAAGAGCCATGTTTTTGGTTTTGGTGCGATCCAAAATGGCAAGGAAAAAAAAAAACCACAACAACTTGCAGAACTAATTTAGCTTTTTTTTTTTTTTTCGTGGCAAACACTGAGCAGTGGTACCTCTCTGTGCCTGTGTTCAGTGCTCCTGTGTCACATGCACTGATACTTTTATAGCCTTAACTGGTGTCTGGTGAAGGGAATAATTTTTTAAATTTTTTTTTCTTGTAATCAGTGGTAACTTCTATAACTGTTTCCTCCTTCCCTGATGGGCAAATGCTCCTTTGGGATGGTCTGTAATGGATTTATCCCCCCCTGCCCCCAGCAGTTCTAACAGGACAGAACAATTGTTTTCATGATGTTTCCAGGTGGCAGAAAATGAGTCAGAAGTATAAGTGAATCTGATTAGATGACTTAATAGCAACAAAATAAGAATATTTGTTAGCTTAGCATAGTTAGAAATCATATTTCATAGTAACAGTGTTACTTCCATCGCTGGTGCTGTTTTCCCCAATTTTATTAGAATTAAGGTTGTAAGTACCACAGAAGAAAATACTGTGATACTTGAACAGAAGGAAATAACAGGCAGATGTAACTCTCCTTGGTGGTTGTTTACCAGTGGAAAAATTAGGAGTGTGTGACTATTTAGCTCAGTCTAATACAGATCCCTGGGCCCTAAAAGTGACACCAAATTTTACAGTCAGCTCTTCTGTTCAGCTTGTGCCCATGCTGGTAGGAATAAATTAGTGTAGGCTCATATTCCTTAATTTATCATCCCTCAGACCCTCGTCACGTGTTGTGCACAACAAACCAACCTTTATTCTTTCCCTCCCCAGGTCACCTTTACCAAGAGGAAGTTTGGGTTAATGAAGAAGGCCTACGAGCTGAGTGTACTGTGTGACTGTGAAATAGCACTCATCATTTTTAACAGCTCTAACAAACTCTTTCAATATGCCAGCACTGACATGGACAAAGTGCTACTAAAATACACAGAGTACAACGAGCCCCACGAAAGCAGAACCAACTCAGACATCGTTGAGGTAACAATTTGAAAAGACACGTCACTCTTTATCTCCTCTCTAGTCCTTCAAATGCAGAGCAACGCAGACTAATTTTAAGATCTTTTAAACCAGATGTTCTCGAGTTATTGAATCCTTTTGTCATAAAATGTGCACTGCTGCTTTTAGCCTGGTTACTCTGAGGCACTGAGTTGTCTTTCCAGCCGTGTTGTTTTCCCATCTGCCCTCCACCCCCTGCCAGTTTCTGGGAAGCGTGTTTGGTTTCGATCGCATTTGGCAGTGGAAATAGAGGTGTGAAAGATGGTTGTTCCTCTTGGGGGTGGGAGGAGGAGAACTGTTCAGGGTTTTAATTGGGGGGAAAAAAAATAAAAATCAATTGGATGGGAAATAAGGTCAGAAATGAGTGTCCTCAGCCCAACAGACAAACAGGGTTGGCCCCTTTTCTTTTCTCAAATCAGTCTCAGATTTGACTTTACCAGTCAAATCACAGATCAAATCACCCACAGCCTGTTCAGCCAAAAAAAAACCCAATAAAACCCAAAAAACCAACCAAACAAAAAAAGAGAATCTGTGGAACACACAAAATGAAATGTGTCCAGACACTTTTTATGTGAGTTAAACCAGCAGCAGAGCGACTGCAGTTTCTGCAGTAATAGAATAGCATGAATATATTTACTCAAAGGTATTGGTTTCATCTACTTTTATAATGCTTGTGCTTTAAATAGAAACTCTTTTCAGTACATAATTTCTAAATTAGGTGCAGTGGAATTCAAGGATTTTCTTGGCAATTGGAGCCTTGATGTACTGTAACTGCATTTCAGATCAGTCGTGTCTCCAGCAGTCCTGTAAATAGACCAAAACAGGTGGCTGACTTAAGGGTTTCATTTAAATTCTGAACTTGTCTTCTGAACAAATGCCTTGCTTTTTAGGAATGATTTTGGAATAATGATTAGCCTTGTATAGCTGAAGAGCCTATTGCCAAGGGATCAGAGCACAGGGATGATACTTGCTGATCTTGTAAACGAGTCTTCAAGCAAGAATCAGATTGGCAAAACTGAGATACACACAAATGCCTTGTTTCTGCCTGACAAGATTCTCTGCTAATTTGTCAGCTGTCTTTTGTGATCAGGAAAAAAACCCCTCCCCAACTTCTGTCTTCAGCCCTGAGTTCTTAAAGAGGGATGATACAAGCCAGGAAGAGTAGAAGGCTTATTACTGAGTTACTGGATTAGCATAAATAAGAGATGACCACTGCAGAGGAGGGGGAAACCTGATTATTTCAGGATGGGCTTTTGATTGTGACAGTAGTGAGTTTGAGACAGGGGTGCAGGCCAGGCTGAGTCTTGTTCTGCATCCAGGGCCTCTTGGTGTTACGACTCGTGGTAAAAGTGCTCCTCCACACCACGAGGGACTGAGGGCTCTTTCAAAGTAACTCTACACAGGGTTTTTTGGGTTCTTTTAGTTGGAGGGTTTTTTTCCCAGTGTCAAGTGTTTGACCCCTGCCAGAGAAGTGCAGTCAGTGTGGCAGTGCCCCTGTGCTCTGGGGGAACGTGCAAGGACTCATCTGCAGATTCTCCCTCCTTTTCCTCGGTGGATTTTCTGTGTTACACTGGTGTGGCATTTGGGACTTCACTCCCGTTACTCCAACATAGTGTAATTCAGGAGTGCATCTTCCTGTCTCTTCAGATTAGCCCTGTGTGCTCTTTGGTCTGGCTGTGAAATGTTTTTGGGGTTTTCTGTTTTTTTTTTCTTTCTGGATTGATGGGTGCTTGGAGTGTGACAGAGGCTGAGTTACGTCCCCAGCAGTTTGGAAACACGCTGGAAGGACGATGTAAAATGGCTTCTCTTTATTGTATTTGCGTAGAAATTCTATTTTAACAAATGCAAATTCCAAAAAAAGAAACAAGCCTAAAATCTGTCAAATTGGAATAGGTAATAATGAGTTACAGCTGATGTCTAGATATTAATTAAGAGTTTAGTCATTCCCTTTCCTCCTTGGACGTGACAAGTGGCATTTATTGTGGTGTGGGCTGCCCATGGCACTGGTGTGGCCCCACTGTGGTCCTGGGTGGGTCTGAAGGAAAGCTGATTCCACACAGCCCAGGAGCCGTGGAAGGGAAGGAACAGATCTGCTGTTCCTTATTTTCGGTGCAATGTTGTCGATGATTAAGTGAAATCGATGAGACAACTTCCCCTCAGAGTTGTCTCCTGCTCAGCTTTGGCAGAGGAATTGCTTGTAGATGCCCAGAGCTTGGTGTCTTCTGTCGCTGCTGGAATGTTTGGGAAAACATAGTAGGAGGGAGAGCACTGGCATCTTAAATGAGTGCTGGGATTTTTTTTGATACGTGCCCTTATGTCTCTCACTGTACATGTTACTGGAGATGTGAATGCTCTGTTGCTGTCCTAGACCTGTGTGTATTTATTACTCCCATTTTTCATTTCTATTAATGTTTCCTTGCCCTCCTTTTCCCCCACTCAATTTCTAAGCACCTGACCCATCAATAAAATGTTGATTTATTCGAGAACCACCGACTGGTTTGGGTTGGAAGGGACTTAAAGCTCATCTCTTCCCAAACCCCTGCCATGGGCAGGGACACTTTCCACTAGGTCAGGGGGCTCAAAACCCCCTCCAGCCTGACCCAACCCAACCTCATTTCTTGACCTATTTCATGTCATGGGTTTTTTCATTGGAATTTTTTCCCTTTCGTAGCTACCTGGTACCCAGTGACTGCCGTGGGTGTAAGGAAGGTGGTTTTTAGGCCATCTTGGCAGAATCAGACTTTGGAATGGCTGGAATTGGAAGTTTGAAGTTTTGTTCTAATGTAATTTTAGTTTTCTAATGTCAGTAGAGTACTTGGGAATACACCATTCTTTGCCATTTGGTACATTAAGGGAGAAGATCCTGTGACAGATGGCCTGGAATTTGTGTGGCATTTTGAGCTGGATCTCAACCTCTGTGATCCTTGATGTTTTTTAATTTTTTTTTTCTGTTTGAATCTGTTTAACAGTGTTAAAAAAAACCCCCATGTGAACAGGGTAAACAGGATGGTTTGAAACCCCCAAAACCTTCAGAACATCCACATGTCTGTGCAAAAAAACCTCCTTGCTTGTCAGGATCAGGCACAGTTGGTCCGATGGGTTTATTAGATTAGTTTGTGCACCCCTCTGGAATATGGGAGGTGAACACAACTGATACTGGAGAGGGCTGTTCTTAGGATTGTAAAAGGCATTTATTCCAGGGGTGATGAGTGGAATGTTTTCTTTAAGCCTCATGAAAGAGGGGGAAAAAAAAAAAAAGAATTATCTTTTGCACAGGTTAGATGGATCTTGTAGGGATATTAAAAAAAACAAAAACAACCCAGCTGAGATTTTTCAGTCAGTGTGTGCTTTGAATTCCTGAAATCCCAGCATTGTGTATTTAGCTTTACAAACCCACCCTGGCACAGTTGCAGGTTGTTGCACTGAAGAATTTGAAGGGCTTGCTGTAGGTGGTAAAGCATTTTGATGCTTTAATATTCATGGATTTTTTTTAAATTTTTTTTTTCTCCAACAGATTACTCTTGACAAGTAATTATTTTTCCTGAGGAAAGTAGTAGTTCTGCAGAGCAAAATGGGAATAGTTTCAGATTTTATCAGGATTCTGTATCTGTGTGGTCAACAAAATGTTTTAATGTGTAAAAGACAGTTGAGAACTTGAGTGTTCATCATTTTTAAATCCGGAGGAATACAGGGAGATGAACAGACACTTTCTTTAGTGCAGGGTGTGTTAAGAAAATTACACCTTCTGTACAAGCTATCACTTCCATTTTGGCTCCTTCCACCCTTCATGAGACTCCCAAGAAAGCAGCAGTTGCTCAGCCATTCCCTCTCTTCCAGCCTCACTTTTCCTGGGAGTCAAGGCCTGAAGATGACTCTTCTTGCCTGGCCAGCTCAGCTTTTTCCTCTCTTTGCCATGTTTTGATGTTTTGATGTTCCCTGAGTGCTGCAGCACGGCAGGGTGGATTTGCCCTCCCCGTGGCCGTGGTGGGTTGTGCTTGTCCCATCCCATCACCTCATCAGCCTGCAGCGAGTTGATTTTTTGGGAGCCTGTCTAAAATGTGACCTACTTTTCCAGTTGGCATCTGTGCCCAGGAGAATTCCGGGTGGGTGTCAGTTAATGAGCCTCCTCTGTGCTCTGCAGTGGGATGGTGTTTGCAGGGTGGTGTAATGTGCTGAATAAGGCTGAGCTTGTACCCCAAATATTGACAGCTGTCCTTGAAACAGGCAGCGGCCTGGAGTGAAAACTGGAACTAAAACTCTAAAAGAAACCTCTCCTAAACTGTATCATGTAATTATTGCAAACATTCTCAGGACAGCAAGTGGTTTGGGTGCTCGTATTAAATGTCTTACCCTGGGAAATGAGCGTAGTGCGGAGGAACATCAGAGGTGGCTCGGTGTGAGGGTGGTGCTGCCACAGCTCAGGCAGAAAGCAGGTAACAGGCAGCTGGATCAGAATGCAAAAAAGGGCATTTTCATCTCTGCCTTGTCAGAAAACCTTAACCAAGAGGTGTTGGTGCTCCTCAGTCCCAGGCTGTGCCAGGGCTGGGCTCGTGGCTGGGGTGAGCGGGGCGAGCTCAGCTGCACGTGGAGAGCCCGCGGCGGGGAGGAGCAGATGCCTCTCCCCAGCCAGATGGAGCATATGCCAGGAGACAAGTGTGACAGTGTGGGGAGCATAAACACAAAAGTTGGTGTTGAAACACTGTGTTTATAAACCAGAAGCTCTCTGGGTTTGGTTTTGGTTTTTTTTTTTTTAATTATTTTATTTTTATTTTTATCCAGCTTTCTCCACCTCCTCCCAGCGTTGCTGCTTTTCCAGGCCTGGAATAACCAACATGTGTGTTTTGAACTGTTATTGGTGGAGGTTTTTTTTTGGTGGCACTTGAGTTGGTTCATTGCTTCTTTTAGTTGAAATTTGGGTGGGTTTCCTATGAAAAGGAAGATCTGGGAGTTGTATCTAAATATATATGTGGATTAGATGAGAA